TCTAAAAATCCTGATTGGAGTATCACTATAAATTCGATGATCCAGTTCAACCATACTAATAAGCAAAAATTACTCTAGACAAACATTTGTGTGTCTTTTTTTATTGCTGAAGTGTGTTGAAATGTCTTCTTCTGCATTCTACTGTACGGACGTACATTTACTTTCCCTTCAGCCTGAGGCTTATTCATTTCACTTTTGGTGTGAAAAGGCTTTTATATTTGCCAAAAATATAACTTTTTTATTTAAAAACAAACAAGCAAGCCCTGTCCAGAATTAAAAAGTAATGCAAAAGTAACGTAATGCATTACTTTCCATAAAAAGTAACTAAGTAACGTAATTAGTTACTTTTTTATGGAGTAACGCAATATTGTAATGTATTACTTTTAAAAGTAACTTTCCCCAACACTGGTCACCTGTATAATAAAACACATAACATATTAAAGCGTCTTTGGTGTTTCCATGTTTTCTACAAAACAAAAACAGATATCGAGGGTGTATGACGTCTTTGGCAGGCAACACAATGACACTACGGACACGGTCCGTTACACTGCAGTGTACATAAGCAGTTAAAATTGCTTATTTCTCTGGATTTAAACATTCTTCGAAACATTTGGGATAATGTAAGTACACAAGTCAGCAAAATATATAACACTGTTCTAGTGGTTTTTGGATATTTTAATAAAAAAATCTTACATATTGTGCCTTTAATCGACACATCATGTAATTAATTAGATTAAAAATTTTAATCGACTGACAGCCCTAATATATGTAACCTCCGCTTCGCGTCGGGCGGTTCTTTGCCTCCACATCATGCATTTAAAATCCTTTAATGCACGGCTAGCCATTGATTATCCTGCTTATTCCATGGTCATTTGCCAAGTTATAGACAAGTTAAAACTAGCATTGCTAGTATTAGTTCTAATATTTGACCAAATGGGTAAAAATGACAGTTATTTTATTCAGTTACTGCACGTTACCTCTAGCATTCTGCCCGCTTCAAATCAGACACACAGATGAAATAGTGCGGCAAGATCACATTTATTTGAATGAATTATAGCATGTATTTCAATTAATAATCGAGAGAGAGAGAGAGAGAGAGAGAGAGAGAGATGACAGTTGTGTGTACCTGCGTGCTGTGTCTGTGTGTCTCTCTCTACAAACAATTACTTCAGAAACAGCCATTTTACCATCGTTGCTGAGGAATATAATGTAGCGATCTAGTATCTAGGCTATTTTATTAATAAAAGTCATGGGGCAGCGTTGACAACAAGTTTCTGTGTGTGTGCAGCACAATCTCCGATCTCTCTCTCTCTGTGTGTGGGTTTGTGTGGATCAATTAAAGCAGCGCATTAATATAGAATGGTGATTAAACTGATTTGAAACTAACTGTGCATTAAACGGTTTTAATGCATACCTGCCAGCCAATCAGAATCGATTATTCAGACAGACCATGGTATAATATTAATTAACAACATGCACTGAAAGTTATGGTTCAACAGTTATCTGTTTTTGCAAATAAACTCTTCATATACTTCATATACTGTATTATTTATGATAAGCTGTTGCTGCTGCATGATTAGGCATACATAAATCATGTAACAGTTGTAACAGTTTGGAGCTGGTGGAGGTGGAGGGTTTCAGAGGAACTCCAGCTTACAGGGAACACGGAACCAACTAT